GAATCCAGGTAACTCGAACCCAAAACCCAATAGAGCAGCCCAACTTCTTTCCCCTTGGCCTTTACCTTCGACCCAACCCAACTATAGCGGCCCAAACCTCAATCCAGCCAAGAAGCCACGGTTCAGCTGAACCGACCTGAGACCAGATTCACGATCCAATCGAACGGGCTTGCAACCCAAATGCTTGCGGCCCAATCTAGTAAACCGAAGACCAACAACCAGCCTGGCCCAGTAGCCTTCTGCAGCAACCGACCCGAACCAAAGTGCGACCCGCCCCTCAACCCGACGCTCACCGCACGACGTGGCATGCTCTGCTTCTACCACGTGGCATGCAGCAGTGCAGGTGGTCCCTCGGCTCGGCTCGGCGCAAACGGCTCTGCGGCTCCTAGCGGCTATTCGGTTCAGCTCTGTATCCACTATTTCGACCCTCCCAGACCTGTTTTCGGCCCTGATTAAGGTATTTGAGGCCGTTTTAGAGCCATATTTCACATTTATTGAATTATTGGTAAATAAATTGTGAAATACTAACGGAAGGTGGTGAACGGTGTGATAGGAAAATAACCTCGACAACGTAGAAAGCAGCTTTCACGGAACGGGAGTTTACGTTTAACTAACTAGGGAGTATTTCGGCCAAGGCCAACCAAGTAAGTGGCCTTACTATAGGATAAGCTAAAGCTTGTTTGAATTATAATGATGTATGAGGATGACATTGTGTTGTGATGTGTTAAATGTACGTTATTTATGTTTCGACGTATGACGTACATGTTATATTTGATGCACTTAATGGCTTCTATGATGAGTATGATGTATGCATGACGATGTTATTAACATGATGATATTTTCCATGTTGAACATGCCTTATGATGTTGTTTGCCATATTGCATCATGTCGTTAGATCGAGATAGGACACAACCCTAAGAGTACGAAAATGATATTAATATAAATATCCACGAGCACGTGTTACATAGTGTAACCAAGAGATGAGGCTAGAGGGTTGTGTCAGAAGAGATGTATAATTGGACTTAAAAGGATCTCATGCATATTGTATGTTCATAAGCATAAGATTACTTCCCCTAGAGATGATGAGTGCGGACGCACACCGTATGATGTGCGCGAATGCGCACAGGTGCGAATGCACATAGATGAGGGTGTTCATGAGGCGCATGACACTATGGGGTTCCGCTGACCTCCGGACGTCGCTACAAATTAGCTTGACCAGAGGGTCCAGGGGGTGTGCGAGCGCCCTGGGGATTCACACTCGCACGCATCCAATTTGTCTGAGACTGGAGGCCACCCTTAAGATGATTAGAGATAGGTCCCTAATTCATGATTGCATGTGTTTGCATTAGCATGGCCCCTATAGTGCAATACTCAGGTCGTGTGCCATATTGTTTTTCAAGTAAAGGCAAGGCATCCATGTACGGTTGACGGCGGCATCGTGATCAGAGACTGTGGCGCGTCCCTAGGATAGTTGCATATTTAAAATTTCTAGTCTTGATTAGGATAGGGTGTTTGCATTTCATTTATTTAAATTATTTAATTTCTAATTGTTTTATCTTATTTTGAACTCCAGTATGATGTTTGAAACATGTAAGTCCGACAGTATTTTCTAATGTTTTAACGTATAGTTTTAAATTTTTTCGCTAATAAAGACGAATATTCTTAGAGTTATATTCTGCATTAGAGATGAACAAGAGACGTTAGTGACGATTCTAGATATGTGGAAATTTAAGGTCATTATATGATTAGACGAGCCTAAATCATTCTTTGCGACTCATTTTGGTTGGTTTAATTAAGGTTTTGTTATTGAGTTTAGACCATCATCTCCGTTGTAAGGACAATCAAATAAGTTTTTTTTTTTATTGGATGATTTAAAGAAATTTGAAGACATTTTGCCTTTTGGAGTTGAACTACCTTTTTGAATTTTTAATGTTATGTCTTAATTTCTTTGATTTTCATTTAATAGCTTTTAATATAAAGTTTTTGGTAGCTAACTTTTTCAACTTTTTTGTGTCATTCGCCCTATTTTCTTCCATTTTTAGCTATTAAAAGAAAATTTTGGTAGTTAAACTTCCATGTTATTTGGAAGACCATTTTAGTTTACTTAAAAGACTTTGCCATGCTTAAATTTGACCGATGAAATAGAATGTAATAGCCCAAAAATAAATAAACAAATAAAAATAATTATAAAAAAAATAGTTAAAATAATAAATAAATAAATAAAAATTAAAAAAGAAAAACACTTGGTAATCGATCCCTCCTCCTTCCTTCAATCTCTCACCACTCCTTCCCTAAAAATCAATTTGGTAACAAATCACTAATCTCTTTCCTGTAAAAAGTAGATTTACCAAGAATTCTTCCATCCTACTAAAACAAATAAAAAAAGAAAACAAAAGTTTAAGCAGATTAGCTCCAGAGGAGATATGTCATTTGAAGAGGTCAGTATGTTAAATCTTCCTTTTATTTTATTAAATAATATTAATTTGGTTACAATTATTTAGTTTTGAATTAGGAAATCAAAATCAATTATATTTTAGATCTACTAAATTGTTGCAATGATTTAGATCTACTGAATTCTTGCAATGATTTAGGTTGTAATTTTATATGAATTATAGGAAAAGAATATAAGCAAATGAATCGATTAAATTAAAAGCTAAGAATATAACTGTTAACTAAATCAGAAAGAAGACAAAAGAAATAAGAAAAAAATGAGATAGAGATAGAAATATAGAATACTGGAAAGAAAAATAATAATAGAAATAAAAAGGGAAGATTTGGAAGTAGGAATAGATTAACGAAATTGAATAATACCTTCTTAAAAATAATTACAGAAGAAAAGGAAAGATTGAAGAAAGATTTGTTGAACAGGATTAACAGTAAAACAGGAAATATCATAGTGCAGTGAGCTCCTTTAAATTTTGTCTAACACGAAATATCAGAATTTTACGATGGCCAATCTAAATTAGAGAAATAATTTTATAGAGTTCAAACTTGAAACTAATGTCATGAACTCATATAGGTTGACTCGGATTTCAAAGGACGGAATCGAACTTTCATTAAAGATATATTTGTAACAACGACTTAAGCTTGCCAGGTAAGTGACCTTACTGTCGGCATGATTATATTTGATGTTGACACGTGCCCTGTGGTTCGGCACGTATCATATATATTGATATGTGTGAATTGTCTGTGGATCGATATGTTTCCTATATGTTATGTTATGTTATGTTATAATATGTGGATTGTATGATAATAATTATGGTACGATGTGCTCTAGGAGATGTTTGAGATAGGATACGAGAAGGATGCACAAAACGAAATGTAACGATAGGAGTAAGATACGTTCATGAAACGTTGGAGTTAGGTTACATACCGGAGTGCTATGGATAGGAGAGATTGATGAAAGAATACGGTTAGGTTATGGGTAGAAAAGGATAGGTTTGTGATAGATTGATGGAACGATAGCATTAGAGTACGTTCTTGTGACGATATGACTAAGGTACATCACGTAATGATATGTCTGTGATAGGTATAAGAACGTTAAGGCTATGGTAAGTTAGAGAACGATATGACTATGAAGTGTTTACGTTATTGACTTGGTTATGATATGATACATTGTATGCTAGATTATGGTGCTTAAGTACGAAATCATGTGAACGTGAATATGTTATTTATACTGCTTAGTTGATGTGATATGAATGCATGTGACGATGTGTGGCCCTTGTACGATTATGGCTTGTTGTATGAGTATTGAAATGTAACTGAATGAATTGTATGACATGAAATACGGTAAATTGCATGATACTTAACCCCGCTAGGAATATGTATGATATGTAACGAAATGAGAATGAGAATGACACGTAAGCATGAAAACGTGACACGGGATTATGTTCATTAAATGATGACTGTAGGACTACGGGACCTCATGCATATTGTGTGATCATGCATTTGGGGGGATACCCCTATCCCATCACGAGGGTACGGACGCGTACATCCAAATGGCAGGACAACGATCGTTATGCCCTGCATAACGCTGCCGTGACGGTTTTAGTTTTAACGGGTCTCGATGGGCCCCTAGAGCATGCCCACCGGCTAGGGACAGTGGCCCAGTGGTGTGCGAACTAGCTGGTGAGCCCATACTCGCACGTATGGGCTGCGTGTAGACTATATGGTACACATCCACGATTACCTGTTAGGATTACACCGTAGGGAAAACGAAACGAAATGAAATGAAATGAAACGAAACGAAATGAAAGATAGGTCCCTTCATTTCATTGCATGTGATTGTTGCATTTAACCTCAATAGGGGGGTCACTTACTGAGTATTTCTTTAAATACTCATGCTATGTTCTACTACATTTTTTAGGTTAAGGCAAGGCATTCCTGTACGGCTGACGATGACATCGCAACTCAAGATCATGGCACATGCATAGGATAGTGACATTTATTTTCTTAGACTTAGGATAGAATAGGATGTTTTAAACTTAAACGCTTATTTATTTTATTTCAAGTCTTTTGTTGTGTCGTTTTAAAGATGTTTTCGAAACACGTAAGTCCATGACTGTGTTTTAAGTTAAAGGTTATGTTTTATGGAATTTAAATGAAGTCTTCCGCATTCAATGTTTATGATACGTATACAGTAGTGACCTTAAATTAAGTAGAAAATTTTGGGTCGTTACATAGAAGGTTGCATTTTGAAAAACACTTTAAAGCATTTTACTAGAAACACTTTAAAATATTTTACCTTTGGTAGCTGAACTACCCTCTTAGAATTTTGATATTACATGCCTGATTTTCTTTCATACTCCTTTAATAGCTTTTAATACCAAATTCCTGGTAGTTGATCTACCATTTTGGACTTTTGATGTCATAGGCTATATTTTCTTCCAATTTTATTTAATAGCTTTTAATATAAAGTCTTGAGTCGTTGAACTACCCTTTTACTTAGAAGACCTAGCTTATTTAAAGGTTTGAAATGCTCAAGTTGAATTGGGGTTTCAAAAATATGATAATATGTTGTCAAAGTGTTTTGTGCTTCTTTTGCAGAAATTCAATGACATATTTGTATATGAAGATGCATTTCTAGGGTTACTTCTCTAAGAGGAATTAAACACCAAATTGGGTTTATGCTTCAGGCAACTCTCCTAGATAATGCTTACACGACCAATCCCACCGAGACTAAGGTAATTCAAAGGCAAGTAGAAGAACTTATATATAAAAATTATGTCGTTTCTTTTTTCGCCCAATGTCCCTACTAATCTATTTTCAAAAAAAGATTATAAAAGTGGTAAACGACTTTAAAACAAAGTTTGGGCTTTATAAATGGTTTGCTATGTCTTCTGCCTTACAAATACACCAATTACTTTTATGAGGCTAATATATTGATTTTTTTTCTTTTTTTTTTTTGTTATATATCTTGATGATATCAGTGTTTACTCAAAATGTTTTGATAATCATATTTTGTAAGTCAAGACAATTTTGTTTAAACTTAGAGAGAAAAAAAATTTATCCTAACTTCAAAAAAAATTAGCGAAGTAAAAGGAGAGAGGGAGAGAGATTCACTCAAATTTGCTGAAGACTCGATATCCTATTTTCATTCCGTTGAACGGTTTAAATAACAAATCTAATTACAAAAATAGAAAAACCAATTATACAGAAATTAGACGAAGACTTCGCCCAAATTGTCACCTAGAATTACGCTTTTCCATTAGCGTGAATTCATATGTTTTTAGAAAACCTAACTAAATAAGTCATGGCTTTTATTAACAGCTTTTGTCTAGACCAAACCAACTTCGTAGGATTCTTAACGGGAAATAATGGAGTGCAAGTTGATGAAGAAAAAGTGAAGGCCATCCTAGAGTGGCAAAACTCACGTATGCAACCGAGGTAAGATCCTTTCATAGTTTGACTAGCTTTTATAGGAGATATATTAAGGATTTTAGTAGCATAGTGTCCTCGTTAAATGAACTTGTTAAGAAAAATATGAAATTCAAATGGTAGGAAAATTAAGAAAACACCTTCAATGAATTAAAAGATAAATGATCAAATGCACCTTGTCTTCATTTACCTTTTAAATTTTAATATGATGCAAATGGGATAGGTATAGGAGCTATTTTAACTCAAGATAAAAGGTTAAACATATTCTTTGGTGAGAAGCTTAAGAGAATACAAAGCCATCTATTCGACTTATGTCAAAGAACTATATACACTTTTGAGGGCTTTGCACCTTTAGAAATATTATTTGTGGCCAAAAGAATTTTTATAGATGATGAAAGTTTGAAGCACCATAAAAGCCAAACAAAACTAAACCAGAGGGATTTTAAATGGGTGGAATTCGTTACAAATAATAATAAAAAAAAAAAAAGTGAGTAGTCAATGCATTATCAAGAAAAAAAAAAGTTGATCTTTGGACAAATTCTTTTACAGAGGGATGATATAAATCCAACAAATTTATTGAGTCGAAGGAGCCATTACAACAACTAAGCCAGAAAATTCAAGAGACTTGTACGTTACATCTTCAAAGCTAGTCAATGGACAATAAGAGATAATGATTTTTTTAGCCCAACTTTCTAATAATGTTAGTATAACAAGTCAAGAAGAGAATGATATAAGAGTGGCACGAAAAATTGATAAGAATCAAAAGTGGAGCATGGAGTTGCAATAAATAACACTTAGACTATTGGAAGACATTTGTAGTTGAACTAAGATTTTGGATTTTTGAGATGACAGACCTTATTTTCTTCAATTTTTATTTAATAGTTTTTAATACAAAGTCTTTGGTAGTTGAAGTACCATTTTTTACCTTTGATGTTAGGTTTGTTTTATTCAATTTTTATTTAATAGCTTTTAATTCAACGTTTAAGTAGTTGAACTATCATTTTGTTTGAATTATGATGATCCAAAACTTTACATCAAAAGCTATTAAATGAAAATTGAAGAAAATAAGGTCCATGATGTCAAAATTCCAAAATGGTAGCTATCAAGAATTTTCTATTAAAAGTTATTAAATGAAAATTGAAAAAAAATAAGATCTAAAATGGTAGTTCAACTACCAAAGACAAAATGTGTTCAAAGTGCTTGGGCTAAAAATATTTGTTTCTCCTTAAGCATTGACTAGCCTTGAAAGATGTAATGTAAAAGCCTCTTAATTTTCCTTGCTTTTCTTCTTGTAATCGTTCGAGTAGATGCAATGAATCAGGGATTGGATTCATATTATCCCCTTTCTTTAAAATATTTGTCCGACAATGTATTCACTACCCTATTGTCCTACTTTTTAAAAATAAATAAATAAATGACATGAGGAAAGGTTTTAAAGAACGCGGGCCATTTAGCCTGCCTCCTTTTTATCTTTGTTTGGATTTTGAGGTGCTTCATGATCTATACCGATAATAAACTCTTTTGACCACAAATAATTTTGTCTAACGTGCAAAGCTCTCACCAGTACATGTATTTTTTTTTGTCATAAGTCGAATAGTTGAGTTGTGCTCCATTAAGCTTCTCATTAAAAAACATGATTGGATCTTTTTCATGCTTTAAAACATCTTCTATAACTATCCCACTCGCATATCATTCACTTTCAAAAGATTTATCAAAGTTAGGTAAAGCAAGACAGGGTGCATTGGTTAATTTATCTTTTAGTTCATCAAATGCATTCTCTTGTTTTTCATCCATTCGAATTTGACATGCTTTTTAACAAGTTCATTTAATGACTAGGCTATGCTATGCTACTGAAATCTTTAATAAATCTACAACAAAAAAAAAACTAGCCAATAAAAGGATCTTACCTCTAGTTGCATGCATGAGAGTTGGCCACTCTTGAATTATCTTTACCTTTTATTCATCAACTTACACTCGATTATTTCCGATTAGTAATCCTTTTTTGAAATTGACATAAAGATTCTCTTCTCTGAGTATAAGCAAAATTGTCTTATAAGGCAAAATGTGATCATTTAAATTTTTTGAGTAAACATGGATATCATCAAAGTACACCACAATAAAATTTCAATATATTCTCGAAAAAGTACTTAGATGCATTTGTATGACATATCATAAAGCCAAAGTTTTGTTTTGAAAGTCATTTTCCACTCATGTCCCATATGCATTTGAATTTGATGATAACCACTTTTAAAATCTATTTTATGAAACGGATTAACACCGTGTAATTTATTTAATATGTCATCCAATTTAGGAATAGGATGTCCATATCATCTTCCATGTGCCATCTTTCTTGGGTATCAAAATCATTGGAACTAAATAAGGTGTCTAACATAGCTTTTATACATGAGTTCTTCTACTTGCTTTTAAATTTCTTTAGTGTCGTGGGATTTGTCCTATAGGTAGAAACCTCAAAATTACTTTTTTTTTTTCTTTTTTCTTTTTTGGTTTTTACTCACCGTTTGCCCCTCATTTTTCTCTATTTTTTCACTCCTATTTCTCTTTTATCTTACTTTCTTTGTTCTCTCTTGTTCTTCAATTTTTTTCTTCTCTAATTTCAAGTGGTTGTATTATACTTCGTTTAGAGACAATATTAATAGAAGTAAAGTAAATTTCTTTATACACAAAGTAAAAGTATACTTATTTATCAAACCATCAAATATGACTTTTCTATCATATTGTCAAGATTGACCGAATATGTTTCCTGCATGCATCGTTGCAACATCACAAAGGATTCCATCTTTATATCTTCCCAAAGTAAAAGGAACAAGAGTTTGGGATAGCACTTAAGTTCTCTATTATTTGTCAACCATCGAACTTTATATGGTTTCATAGGTGGATGTATAGCAAATTGAATTCTTTTTACAAGAAAACTATTTACCACATTTGTACAATTTCCATTATCAATGAAATTGACAGAGGTGCATGAGTTTTCTTTAATAAGACATCTGGCATGAAACAAGTTTTCTGTTTGATCTTCAAATTTATCTTCCTTTCTTTGAACATTAAATGTCCTTCTGATTAATGATATGAAATTACCTGCTTGAATATACTCATCATCATATGCTTCAAATTTTTCTTCAAGTTGTGCATCATGCTTCTCACATTCATCATGAAATCAAGTACACCATTTCTTATCGCTATAGCTCTCTTATTAACACACTCTTTGCTCATGTGTCCAAACTTTTGCACTTTCAACATTAAATAAAACTAGACTTCTCCCTTTATGCCTCTGAAACTTCGTTCTTTTTAGTATGGAAGCTCTTGACATCCACTATTTTAGTAGCCACAAACTTTTCATTCATTGATATTGATTAATTTTTATTTACAAAATCATCCTTATTCCAAATTTTAGAGCTCGAAAAGGCATTAGCTTTTGATGTATACCTCATTGAATGGTTCTTTTCTTCAATTTATCTTCAAATAGCATAATGATACATGTCTTACACATAAGGTGGTGGATTTCCATCAACAAGATGAGCAATCACCCGATTCAAACCAACAAGAAATCTCATATATGAATCTCATGTTATGACTTGTAACACCGGAGCCCCCATGATAATTAAATACCCAATTTTTTCTTTAAAGTTCTTATGTTTGAGAATTTATCGAGGGCCATAAAGGTTGCTTCAAGATTAGTGGGAAGGAAAAATACTTAGGAAAATCCGAGGAACTCAAAAAATATATAAAATAAAATAGTGAAAAATTAAAAAAAAAATTGTCAAAGTCAACCCGAAGGAGTATTTTGAACCCTCGACTTAGTTAGGCGTCTCGTAAGGACAATAAATAAGCTTATGAACTTAAGACCTCATGAGCATAAGACTATGTTCATGGTCGCAGATGAAGTAAGAATCCCAAGACGAACGCTTGGAATTATAGAAAAATATAGAAATAGGTATGAATTGAATTTGTTAGAGATCTAATTAGTAAATAAGATTTAGTAAGATTATTCCAAGATAATGATAGTTTTTGAAATTTTGGAGGAGATATTATTAATTTAAATCCTAAATCTTGGTTGTAGAATTTAATTAACTAGATTTATCTTTTTAAAGATTTTTCTATGATAATTTAGAATTATCTTTCAAAAATTGTATTGAAAATCTGAATTTAAAATTAGAAAATTCTTTGAGAAATTGGAAAGAAGTTTATATTTTTCTCTAAATTTCCTTCCCTTCTAAGCAGTCTAATATTGTTCTCATTAAAAAAAATTATTATTTTTGGATTACACAAGCCATACTTACTTTTGGAATAAGTGAAAAATTTGGCAAATTTTTAAACCATTTGGTTGCAATAAGAATATTATCGCTATTTGGTTGAGTAGGTTTACTATTTTATGGTTGCGTGTGATGTGATATTGATTCCTAGGAGAGGGAGGAGTTGGCTTAAGTTAGACTTTTCCAAAAAGATAATTGGAAGAAGAAAGTTTGATAATGATCATATGAATTAGAGGGTTGAAAGGAAGAAGATGATAAGAGTTTTCGAAAGCCATAGAGAAGAGAGGATCAGAGTTATTAAATCTAAGGATTCATGAGAATATTTGCTAAAATCACTTATACGAGGGTGAAAGTTGTCTCTTTATAATCATTTACTAAAAGACAATTATGGTAAATTAGCAATGACATGGAGAGAATAATAAATGGAACAAGATATTTGTTTATAAAAAATGACAAATATGATGTCTATAATAAGTTAGACAAATATCTAGATATTTTTCTATAATAAACAGTCAAATATGATACATATGTTAAACCATAATTTAAAGTTAAATATCATTAATGAAACAGTTTGTGATCTTCACCAAACCTATAAATTTCTGCAAGGGAGTCCAATGGAGCAAGTTTTGTTAAGTTTCATGGAGAATCAACGAAGATATCGACTTTATAGCCATTTTCGCTCTAGACT